GGCGGGGTCTCGCTGCCGCTTCAGCGCCTTATAGGGAATAGTGCGGGGATGGGCGGTTGTGGGACGCTTTGTTGGCTGGGGGTGCATCTCTCCACCGCCCGCCCCAGCCTGCGTCCTCCTCCCGCCGCTGGGCGCGAGGGGCTGTTTTCAAACTCGTAAGAAGTAGTTGCCCCTCTGACGGATCGGCGAGCGTCCGTCCGTCCCGCGGCCGGGTCTGGCCCGGTCCTGAGGAGTCCCCTGCCACCCCGTCAGGACCTGTCTCCCCTCGGCCGCCCCGCTCCTCACCTCAGGGTGCGAAGAGGCACATGGAAAACAGGCGGGGTTTGTCGTTCTCTTGGAACGTTTGGCCTGTTTTCCTCGAAACCATCTCGGCTGTCTGCAAACTGATTTTAAACCAGAGGAGGTGAAAGAGTATTCTAAAGGGCTTTCAGAAAGCGATCTGAAAATGCAAGAGGAATGTGGAGTGATGCTTATTTTCCTCTTTCAATAGGCAGTGAAAAGAGGATGAAGGAAAGGAAAGACATGACCTAGCTGAACTGTAAACCAGTATTTCATCCTGTGGTTTTTAATCTGGCTCAAATGCTCCTTCTGTCACACCACCACCACCCCTCATCGCTTGCCCTTCTCAGGGCTTTCAGTCTGAAAGGGGTCATAAACTGCTAAAGCCAAGCTGGAAAAAGCACTCCTAACATTTAATCTCAAATTATATTTTAGTAGAGCAACTTTAGTGGAATTTATAGAAAAGTCCTGTTTGTTTTGTTTTCACATACTCCCTTTTTGAACCATAAATTTCTATCAGCTGTAGAAATGTAGATGTTATAGAAGAGCTGGGACTGTAAGGAAGGAGATTGCCAGCTGCAGATACAGACAGCTTTATTAACCTGCAAAGGGGACTGAGGGGTGATTACTCACAGTATCAAAACAGTGTGTATAATGTCAGAGTACTTTCCATGGGGTTTACAAGACTTAAGCGTGTCTAGTTATAAATTATGCTGGTATTAAAGGCTGGGAACCAGCTGTCCTAAATTTCTAAATAATCAGCTAAGTCTTTAGATTTATGATTCTGCTTCATCTGGGCAAAGCACAACCTGCTTACACCTTTTCTTTAATCATACTGTCCACATGAAAATAAAAATTCCAGTCTTATAGAAACACAGGCTTTTATTCAGAACATCAGTACACAAAAGCTTCGAGTTAGGTGTTACTTGTAGAGATCAAGGTTATAATGCCAACAGTGGGAAACACAGGTGTGACAGCTTTGCCTTACTGTGCTTCAAATTACAGTCTGTGTAATGGGGATAATAGTGATGGAATATTCTCAGGAATGTGTATTAGTGGACACACTGAAAAAATTAGATGGTGTTGAGGTGCTAACAGATCCTATGAGTACATATGAAGAAGGATATTAAACAGGACATTCAATTGAGACACATTAGTGTCTGAATCATTCATCTCCAAATTGCTATATGAGAAAACTTATGCAAAAAACTCCTTAGGTACTTGGGATGTCTGCTCAAGGTACTACAGCTGAAGTTAAATCCATCAGATTGAACTGTCATTTCAGTCTCACTGGGTGTAAACAAGGAACAATTCTACCAACCTCAGCAGAGTAACACGGAAGAAAAATGAGCTGTGTCTGGCACTTTCAGTTTTTTTGTTGTTGTAGAAAGTGATCTTGTCGAATCCCACAAGCTAAGCATGACTGGGCTGGGTCAATAGTTGGTGTGAAAATTCCCAGGGAAAACCATGTCTTGCGGGTGTTGTTGACTGAGCAAAGTGGCCTTCTTCCCTCCATCCTGAATGAATGTGTAGAGACAGTGCTAGGGGGCACTGCGCTGCAAGAGATGGGTGCGTTTTTATGGATGAAGCTAGGTTCCTTGCAATATCTAAAGAACCGACTCTTTGGAAAAGCAACTATGTCAAGCTGGGTGTCTTTGTTAAATTTCAGGAGAGTGAACCACTTCTGCTTCCATAGATACTCACTGCAGTTTATATCATCAGGAACATATTAACAATATCTTTTTCTTTCCACAAGTCCTGCCTGTGGCTGGAAAGGACCAAAAAACACTTTGGGATATTCCTTCAAGAGACATAAGGTGTTGCTGTAAATGAATTAAAGGCATATTCACTTCCCCTCTGATCACATTTCATTGCGAGCTATGTCAACTGCTTCAGAACTGACAAAAACATCCGAATGTAAGTAATACACAAGGGCTTCTTCAAACTGCTGGCCAAAAAGAAAAATAAAAAAACCCAAAACTTGACACATGTAGTGGCTGAAAACACTCCAACTCATCACCAGACCTCAGCTGGCTTAAACTGAGCATGTCATGAATGAAGTCAGGAGACTCCAGCCTGCAGTCCAAAGCGTTCTGCCACCTCCTTAACAATATATTAATTTTAAAAGATTCTGAATTATGGGTATTTTTCCATTTTAACTTGTCTTAATTCATGAGTGTGGAGTCCTGCCATTAGCATTCTAAATTGTCCAGCTGCCAAGTTGCTCAAAAGCCTTCTCTTGTCCTAAAAACTACTCTTGAAGTTGACAATCCTCTTATCTTTTATACAAGCTCAGCATCACACTCTCTAGGAGATATCATTGTTTTTCTGCTATTATACAGCAGGTGGGAAAGGATAGGTGGTTTTAGAGCTATCTGATGTCTTTTTTTTTACAGCACACTCATGCCATCTTGTAGGTCAGTACAGAGTGGTCACACACTGCATTAGAAAAAGATTCTTGTATTTCCTGATTATCTGTTTCTTTTTTGAATGCCTTTTTTTTTTTTTTTTGACATGATCCTTTGAGAAGACTGTTGTTGAAAATGTTTATACTTGCTATAATTTACAAGTGTGAAAAAGATTTTAAAAATCCTCCTCTATTAATTCCTCCCTTGTATCAGTGAACTTCATATGCTGCTTAGAATAAGAAGACTCTTCTTAAAAATGCCCTTGATTCTATAAATACATATGAAAAAAAGTCGTTTGATCTCTTACTTCGAGGTTGCAAAGGAATTATGCCACCTTCCTGTCTGCAAGCCAGACATAGGTAACATTCTATCCCATTTCCAAGCTTTTAGTTAGAAGTACACCATTAAACCTTCATCAGCTCTAACTATACATCTTCAAGGATCCTTTACAGATTGTGCTTATCAGGAACACCCGGTGGGAGCAGACCATAGGCACCATGTGTCACCAGGAGTGTTATATTATAAAGGATTGTAGGGTATGAAGTCACCTTCTTGGTAGCGCAGGGATCCTCCAATCAGACTGTGATGTTGCATCAGCTGTGGAAGGGCAACCAGGGAATATCTTTTAACAGCCTTATCAAGCTGAAAATGTTTCTTGCACGTGACTGCACTCTTTGGCCCTAATCCAGCAAAACACTAAGGCACATGTTCAACTTTAAGCACACAAAATGCTCTACTGAAGTCAACAGGACCATTTACATGCACAAAGTTAAATATAAGCTTAAGTGCACTTCTGGATAAGGGCCAAAGGGCTCAGTACCATGCAAGGTTCAAGCCAGGAGGCTGCAATTAGATGGTCTGACAGAGTCTGTGAGGGAGAACACAATGTGATTTGCTTGGCTCTACCTGCCTGTGCCTCATTCCAAGCAATTAGTTTTCCCTAATTTTTGTTCATAATAAGTTTTTCAGTTTCTCTTGCTCTGCTTTCATGCTGCTGTAGCCATTTCCAAATTGAAGTTTTGTTTTTCTTTCTTAAATCCTTTTAAACTGCATCAATAGCTTTAAGTGACTGAACAAAGAGATTTCAAATAGATGAAGTGCTTCAAATGGTAATAAGAGCTGGTGTTCCCAGAGCTTTGGAGGCTCACACTAAGCAGAGAACAGAATGAGAACGATTGAAAATAACTTTTCTGTTGTTCCTTTGTATGAACTGGTTTCTGGCTTATGCAATACACAGTAATTAAAATGACTGGAATGCCTCACATTTTTAAGAGAGTTTTAAGGCAGCTCTGTGGCATTGTGGCCAGCAGAGTTCATAAGCAGATTCATGGCTGCAGTCAAGGTTTGATGTTTCTAGCAGTGTAAATTAAAGAAGACAGTATCTCTGTAGAGGCCTTGGAGGGGAGTTTGATGAAGAAGAAGTAGACACAGAAAAGCAGTAACATCTACTCCCTGCATCAGCTCCATGAGCAGCTCTGGGGCAAGCCTTCCTTTCAGTGAGATGAGAGCCTAAAGGTTGGTGTGATCATCAGAGATCTCATTTGTTTCTTTGCCTTCATGTCCTGACAGGTTCAAGTGTGGAACAGCACTTACACATTCTCTATCTCTCACTGTAATATCAGTTACTCATAGCACTTCCTCCTAGGTACTGTACAGGAAATGTCTCTTTCTGTGAAAGAAGCATTGCATTTGAGTACTGGCCATTGCAGTTGCTGGTTGTATTTGTGGGGGTCTAAACAGCTCCCTGATGTTTAGCAGACAGAGGGCCTGGCAGACTGGCAAGGCTCTCTGCTTACAGTGGGTTACTCTCCCTGTGATGAGGTTTACTCTGCTCAGCAGTTTTAAGGGAGTATCTTGCTGCTTTTCAGTCCTCCTGGAACAATCCAGAAATTCATTTTCCTATCTTCCATTTTTGTCATTGAAGGTGGCTGGGTACTACATCCCTAGTCTTCTTTCAAGAGCTGGCCTGGCTTCTCACAGCAATGACTAGCCACAGAGGATCAGGAGAGCTGAATACAGCTTCTCTGGAGCGGAGCTGACTGGCCTGCGGATACAACCTTTTTGACATGTGAGCAATAAGATCCTTCTCACCTCACCTCTCTGCCTCTCGCCAGCCTTCTGAGGGCACAGACTGAGCCTGCTCCCTCATCTCAGCATAATCTTTCTCCCCTTCTCTATCAGAGGCCCCTGTCAGGATACAGTG